ACTTAGGCACCCCCAGGCAGGTAGTGGCAGGCCCTCGCTGGGCACGAAGCCAGCCCTGTTATCCAGTTACCTCCTAAGCCCTTCCCAAGCTCCCAACCCTGTTTCTTTTTCAGGCCTCCCTGGAAGTTTTTTCTCCCAGGCGGGGAGGGGCGGAGACCTTCCCCACAACCCTGCAGCCCCAGCCTGCCCTTACTACCTGCCCGGGGCTGGTCCTCCCAGAGCAGCCCACCCCCAGTGGCCTAGCCCCAGTGTAGGTGGCCTCCTGCACCTCACGGCACCCCAGGCGGTAGGGACCGCCGGCCTCGAGGCCCACCTCGCCCCTGGCTGCCCTCTGAGCGAACATGGCTTTGCTCATCCCACCCTGGCCAGACCCAGCCCCTCTCAGAGAGAAGCCCCACGTGGCAGGGCTGGGCGGGGGCCCCACGTGGGCCTCCTAGGGCTGGCCTCTCCCTGCCACCTGCCCAGGACTGAAGCCAGCTTCATCTGTGTGTTCCAGGCGGAGATCGTCAAGAGGCTGAACGGGATTTGTGCCCAGGTCCTGCCTTACCTCTCCCAAGAGGTGAGAGCCTGGGCCTTTGGAGGGGGTGCCCACCCCCTGCCCCACTGCAGCCATCTTGGGTGGTGCGCTGGGCACCCCAGGGCACAGTCCTCCCCTCTCTGGACCTCCCTGGCTCTGGACACCAGAGCCAGCCTGTGCAGAAAAATCCCCAGGCCAGAGAAAGGGGTGTGGAGGGCGGGCCTCACCCTGCTCTGGAATTCCCAGCTGGAGCGCGTCATGACATAGGTAGGGATGTGGACGGGCCGAAACTGCCACGGGAAGGTTTCCCTCGTATCTTCCTGCTTTCACCCCCTTGAGACATCCTCCAGGCCCTGCGGGCGGCAGAGGGCAGAGGACCAGTGGGTGTGATGGCGGGGGGAGCACGGGCAGCCACACGTGGACACAGCCACACAGACAGGCGTGGGCGCACGGGAGATACACGCACAGCGCAGACACAGGCACGGTACACATGCAGGTGTGTGCAGCACACGAGATCCTGGGCACACATTAACACATGCACACGCACACCCAGAGGAACCTGACGCCAGCTCCTTTTTTTTTTTTTTTAAGTAGAGACGGGGTTTCACCATGTTGACCAGGATGGTCTCGATCTCTTGACCTTGTGATCCGCCTGCCTTGGCCTCCCAAAGTGCTGGGATTACAGGGGTGCGCCACCACGCCCGGTCTAATTTTTGTATTTTTAGTAGAGATGGGGTTTCACCGTGTTGACCAGGATGGTCTCCACCTCTTGACCTCGTGATCCACCCGCCTCGGCCTCCCAAAGTGCTGGGATTACAGGTGTGAGCCTCCGCGCCCAGCCTCCTCTTCTCTTTTCTTGGGTCCTGAGGCTCAGGATGTGAGGTGCCCCTCCCCAGGGCCCCGTAAGGCCCATCTCCTGTTCCCTGCTAAGTTTACTGTCAAAAGCCTGTAATTTCCTTTTGAACCCCTGCACGTGTCTCTCCAGACCTTTTGGGTGCCCTACTTTGCCCAGGACAAGTCTAGAAGGACCCAATGGGCCGGGCGCGGTGGCTCACGCTTGTAATCCCAGCACTTTGGGAGGCCGAGGCGGGTGGATCACGAGGTCAAGAGATCGAGACCATCCTGGTCAACATGGTGAAACCCCGTCTCTACTAAAAATACAAAAAATGAGCTGGGCATGGTGGCGCGTGCCTGTAATCCCAGCTACTCGGGAGGCTGAGGCAGGAGAATCGCCTGAAACCAGGAGGCGGAGGTTGCAGTGAGCTGAGATGGCACCACTGCACTCCAGCCTGGGCGACAGGGCGAGACTGTCTCAAAAAAAAAAAAGAAAAAGCCTTAGAGAAAAGGGCACTTGGAGCCCTTCAGAACAGGGGCTTCCTGGTAGCCAAGGCAAAAAGAGAGACTGGTAGATTCTAGCATCTGCTGGCCGCAGAGAGTCAGCTGTTTGGGAAGAGCTGGAGAGGGCATTGTCCGGAACCTGGGCCCATTCCCCGGCCGGCCTCTGCCGGAATTCACTGGGCCTTCCCCAGCCGTGGAAGGAGAAGGGCTCAACTTGGCCGACATCAGGGCACAGTCTCAGAGCTCTTAGGATGGACGTCCCTGTACAGTTGGGCAGGTTGCGTACTGCACAGAGATTTACATCTTTCCCGTCTTTGCACATGACATAGGTCGGCATCCAGGGTTTCTCCCGGGCTCGCTCAAAGGCCATTTCCTAAGTACTTCGCAAAAAACGCATTTCATGGTTTTCTGTACTTTTCCATTCGTCTCCGTTGGCCAGCTGAAGAGCCGGGCTTGGTGAAGGAAGCAGCCGGAGAGGGAGGGCGCTTTCTGATGGGGCTGACAGCCACTGGGAGGAGTGGACATTACCACTCGCTTGGTAGTGGAGCTTTTCCCGGCCTCAGGGTCCCCCCGCCAGGATCAGAAGGAATCACTGCCTCTTCCCCCTCCCCCCTTCCAGCACCAGCAGCAGGTCTTGGGAGCCATCGAGAGGGCTAAGCAGGTCACCGCCCCCGAGCTGAACTCCATCATCCGAGTATGTATGGGACCTGGGCGGGGGGCGGGGGACAGGTGGGCCCCAGGCAGCTAATGCTCCCCCCCACGCCCTGCAGCAGCAGCTCCAAGCCCACCAGCTGTCCCAGCTGCAGGCCCTGGCCCTGCCCCTCACCCCACTGCCCGTGGGGCTGCAGCCGCCCTCACTGCCGGCGGTCAGCGCGGGCACCGGCCTCCTCTCGCTGTCTGCGCTGGGGTCCCAGGCCCACCTCTCCAAGGAAGACAAGAACGGGCACGACGGTGACACCCACCAGGAGGACGACGGCGAGAAGTCGGATTAGCAGGGGGCCGGGACGCGGAGGGTGGGGGGGGACAGAGGGGAGACGGAGACGCTGAGAGAAAGGGATGTGTAACACACGACACGGCGAGCTGGGATTGGCGAGACTCCCAGAGTATGTACGGCGGCGCCCCAGCCCGGCTTGCAGGCCACCCCTAGCTTTCTTCCCACCCCGGTCCCGGCCTCCCTCCTCCTCCCCTGCAGCCCGGATAGGTGGGTACCTGCCCCGACACGCGAGGCAAGCTAAGGCCTAGAGGGTCAGATGGGAGCCCAGGTCCCAAGGGAGCACGTGCTGGCCAAGTCCAGCACCCCCGTCACTTCCCCCGTTTTGAACACGTGTCACTGACGGTCTGCCCGGGCCCCTCGGGGCACACGCCACAGCGCGCTCACCCTGGTACTGCATGCACGCAACGCTAGCCGCCCCCTTCCCGTCCTGGGCACCCCGAGTCTCCCCTGACCCCGGGCCCCAGATAGGCTCCCACCTCCACATCCTGCCCCCCCCACCACCTCTGCTAGTTCCAGACGCCTCTATGCCCACCTGGCCCTCTCCCGTCACCCACAAAAGAGGGGGCACAGGGGGAGTGAGCTGAGCTGGGAGGAGCAGGGTGAGGGTGAGCAACCCAGGATTCCCCCTCCCCTTCCCAAATAAAGATGAGGGTACTAAAGTTGTCTTGGTTTTTATTTTATTATTTTTTTTTCTTTTTCCAGTATACTAGCTTGTCTCTTAAGAAGGGGATATTAAAAAAAAAAAAAGACAAAATGTTTTTTAAAAAAAAGCAACACCCACACCTGTGTCTGTATATAGTCAGCTTATGATGTGTTCCGTCGTTTGATCTCTGCAGAGAAGTGGAAGTGCCGTATCAAGGTGGGCTTAGCTGTGCCTTTCAAATAAAGATGTGAGAAGGTTCAGTGCTGTGTTCCTGCCTCTGCGTCGTGGGCTGCCCCGGGGTGGGGGGTTTCCTTCCAGATGAGACACCCTCCTAGAACATCAACAGTTCCTGGTGAGGCCGGGCACGGTGGCTCACACCTGTAATCCCAGCACTTTGGGAGGCCGAGGCAGGTGGATCACTTGAGGCCAGGAGTTCAAGACCAGCCTGGCCAACACGGCGAAACCCCGTCTCTAGTAAAAATAAAAAAGTAGGTTTGGTGGCGGGCTCCTGTGATTCCAGCTACTGCAGAGCCTGAGGCACAAGCATTGCTTTAACTCAGGAAGGGGAGGTTGCAGTGAGCCAAGATGGCACCTCTGTGCTCCAGCCTGGGTGATAGAGCAAGGCCCTGTCTCAAATAAAAAAGGCAGAGTTGCAGGCTGGGCGCAGTGACTGAACGCCTGTAATCCCGGAACTTTGGGAGGCTGAAGCAGGAGGGTCATGAGGTCAGGAGTTGGAGACCAGCCTGGTCAACATGGTGAAATCCCATCTCTAAAAATACAAAAATTACCTGGGCGCGGTGGTGCGCTCATGTAATCCCAGCTACTCAGGAGGCTGAGGCAGGAGGATCGCTTGAACGCAGGAGACGGAGGTTGCAGTGAGCCGAGATTGTGCCACTACACTCCAGCCTGGGTGACAGATTGAGACCCTTGTCTCAAAAAAGAGTTCCTAGGTGGGTCATACTTCTGCATCTGGCCTACCCTGCTTAGATGCCAAGTCCAGAGAGGGTAAGCTGGAGACTTCAGGTCACACAGCATGACCCAGGTGCTTGATGTTTATAGATAGGTGGTCAAGGAGCCCCGAGGAGGCTAAGGGATCCCTAAGCTAGAAGGCGGGGAGGCTGAGGTGGGAGGATTGCTTGAAGCCGGGAGTACAAGGCCAACCTGGGCAACATAGCAGGATCCTATCTCTTTAAAAAAATTATTTATTTATTTATTTATTTATTTATTTATTTATTTAAGATGGAGTTTCTCCATGATGGCCAGGCTGGTCTTGAACTCCTGACCTCAGGTGATCCACCCACCTCAGCCTCCCAAAGTGCTAGGGTTGCAGGCGTGAGCCTCCGCACCCGGCCAAAAATTATTTTTTTTTAAAAAATAACGACTAAATGGCAGAGCTGACTTCTGCACCCGAGACCTGAGGACCTAAATGACGGTCTTTTCCCTTGGAGAAAGAGGAGGCCCCAGTGCCCATACAGATACGCTTCTTTTTGGTTTTTTGCTTTTTCTTTGAGAGAGGGTCTCACTCTGTCGCCCAGGCTGGAGTGCAGTGGAGTGATCATAACTCACTGCGGCCTCAACTTCTCTGAGCTAAAGCGATCTTCCCACCTTAGGCTCAGCCTCCTGAGCTGGAATGGTGGGCGTGCGCCACCTTACCCACCTACTTTGTGTGTGTGTATATATATATATATTTTGTTTCTTTGTTTGTAGAAATGTGGTTTCACCATGATACCCAGGTCTCAAGCCCCTGGGTTCAAGCAGTCCTCCCGCCTTGGCCTCCACAAGTGCTGGGATTACAGCCGTGAGCCGCCGTGCCTGGCCAGTATGCTCATGGAGAACACCGACTCCCCCGCAGCTGAGCCTCGATCCTCCAAGGCACAGCCGGAAGCCCCCCACGCGCACTGCCTCACCCAAGCTGGACCAGCCCTGGGAAAGCTGGGAGAGGGGACTGCCCCCAGTTTTCCTGTCTTGGCCTCAGCCCCTGGCTGCTCTGGGACTTGGGTCAAGGGAACCTCTTGCTGCCCACCCAGTAAATAGAAGATGGCCATTTCCTGGGCTCGGTGGCTCAAGCCTATAATCCCAGCACTTTGGGAGGCCAAGGTAGGTGGATCATTTGAGGTCAGGAGTTCAAGACCAGCCTGGCCAACATG